GTCCACAGGCGTCAACGCGGGTCCCCGGAACCAGGCGTCCAAAGCTCAGGGTCCAGAATCCATCAAGGGCGGACGAGAAGGAAGAGGACGAGGAGGAGGAGGACGAGGAGGAGGAGGAAGAGGAGGAGAAGAAAGAGGCCAGGGAGGAGGCGAAAGCGAACGAGGACGAGGGCGAGGGCGAAGACAAAGGGCGAGTAGGAGGCCGACAACGATGACGAGCAGGGGGGGAGTCCGGGCAGTTCTTTGTTGGTCCTCGGGTTTTGTTCCCCACTCCCTGGGGTGGATTTACCGCTCCGGTTCGGTCTGTATCGGTCTGATTCGGCCCCATTCGGTTCACAAGCGATCTTGATTCGGTTCGGTTCGGGTCTCCACCGCGACCATTCTGGTTTTGTTCGATTCGTCTGGGGGGGCGCTGGTTCGCGGCCGTTCGATTCAGCCTGGTTCAGTCCAGGCAATTCTGGAACCTTCCTGCAATCGGGATCAACACACTGCGATGTAATGACGCCAAGATGGATCTGGGAACGGTTTTCTTCAACGGATGACCTCACGTACCAGTCATAATCCCCATGCGTTCCATAATTCCCAACTTTTCTTAAGTCCCATACTTCCCATGAGTCTCACAATTCCCATATTTCCCACAACTCCCAGAACTCCAATATTTTCAATCATTCAGATATTTCCATTCGTTCCCATCATTCCCATACTTCCCATACGAGACTTGCCATATTTCCCGTCTCCCCCACTATGTCCACAACTGTCAGAGTTTCCACCCTCCGCATACATCCCATACTTCCCATAACTCCCGTATGTCCCATAATTCTAATTGTTTTCAGACGTCCCACTACCCGCATCATTCTCTTAATTCTCATAATCCCAATGTTTCCCATCACCCCAGTAAATCCCGTCATTCTCATAATTCTTATAACCCCCATGACCCCAATGATTCCCATAATGGTTTTATAGGAGGCCCCAAATCAACCCGAAGATGTTTGCGGAAGGCTCGCCAGAAAATCTTCTGGGAACAGCTGCTGCTTCTGTAAACGACGCCGGAAAAGACTCCCGAAGATGTACCCTGAAGGCTTTCTGGGAGACCCTCATCCCTCCTCCTTCTGCTCCACCTCCTGCTGCTCCTCCTGCCCCTCGCCCCTCTCCTCCTCCTCCTCCTCCTTCTCCTTCTCCTCCTCCAGCCACTTTCTGTGTCGAACCAAGATTCAGTGGGCCCAGCGAGGGGGTCCCCGCGCTTGGCATCCCAACGACACTTCATGTTCGGGAGGGCCTGCACCGCCCCTTCGAACGGCCCAGGTTGGTACATTTCATGCGCTGCAGGCTGTTTGGATTCAATGTCTGCAGTCTGATCCAGCCGCGGCGGCTGGAGGAGGTCGCCCTGCTAGCGCGTGGCTTCCCCATCAACTTCCTCGTGGCTACGCGCGTCCGCGCGGTGCAGTCGGAGGCTGTGCGCAGGCAGGCGAAGATCGGCGGGCACGACTATTGCCACTTCGGATATGGACGGGGCCCCTTCACGAATCGAGCCGCTGGTGTGTCCATTGGTGTTCGCAGGAGAGATCTTGGACAACGGGCACATCGCGTACTCCCTGGGCCCACGTCAGCACAGGGTCGTGCTGGTCTCGTGCGGGTGGTCGCTGGGTCGCTCGACATCTCGGCCATCGCCCCTTATTTCCCGCCGCCGGGGCCCCGTTCTGGCAACGCCACACGGAGACGCACGGTCGACGTACCCCTCGAGTGGTTCAACAATGTTCTAGACAGCGCGCCTGAGCGGTCCACCCCAGTGATCTTCACGGACTGAGCGACTCCTTCGCACAGGACGACATGGGCAGACACTTCGCGTGCGCGGGGCCCTACGTGCAGTCGCGCATGGCTACGCAGCCCGAGGGTTTCAAGACGTGCTGCACAGACATCACTTGGCTTGTGCCACTACGTTTCACAAGATCGCGCCTACGTACAATGGGGAGAAAGCTTTGTCGTGGATCGATCAGTACGCCTTGCCTGCTGGAGCCCTCCCGCGAGTCTCTAAGCTGCTTATGACGGCGAAGGCTGCCAGGCAGATTCAGTTCTTCCCGTCCACGGGTGTGCCCCGCGACCGCTCGCAATTGCTACTGGAAGTCGACCTCGGAGTCCCGTCTCTTCTCAACACCACTGCCACGGCCTCGTGGAGCTTCGGCGCTATCGAGACGGCCTTACAGACTCCTGGGCTACGTGAGGGGCTCTTGCTGGAGGCCAACGAGGGGGTGTCACGGGCAGCCCCCTCCTACCTTGGATACTTCGTGAATAACATGATTGATGATGGATACGCTGCGTTCATGAGTGTGCTGACCCCGACCGCCAAGAAGCATTTCGGACGTGCTCGGCGGGCCCCAGGGGGAGAGCTTTCACAACATCGGGCCCGAGTCCGACGGCTGCTTCGTGCGCGCGCCTTCCTGCGTGAACGTGGGCAGCCCACGCAGCATCCCGACTTCTAGAGCAGGGATTGCATGAATCGGATCCGCTGGGAGGTCATGCGGTGGACGCGGTCGCTCCGCAAACCTTGGACTGAGGGTGTCCATGAGGCGAGGCGCAGGCGCGATCTGGTCAGCGTTCAGCATGTGTCCAGACGGTTTGCAGGCTCGGGACGGGGGCCGAAACGTCGCAGCTATTCGGCGGTGCGCAGGCATGTTGCATCGGCCGAGGAGCTCGCGTCGACGCTGGGCGCTGCCAGTGTATATATATATATATATATATATGTATATATAGATATATAAAAATATAGATCCTTTTCTTTACTGGTTTTACTGAAATACGACAAACATCTATCGTTCGGCCCCTCCCCCCTCCCCCCCCGACTTCCAACGCGGTTTTTAAAAAGGGAAGCTGTATAGCGAACGCTATACCAAACGCTGTATTGGCTCAAGGCAGCGCTGTCCTAGTTGCTAGTTGCACGTCCGCGTGCGAGCCTGTTGGAATCGTGACATCCGACAATTTGCCACGTCTATTGATGATCCGCCCCTCTACCCCATGGCTTCTCTCTTACTTTTCGTCTTGTTTTCCATCAAGGGATGGGTTATGGGGTACTTCGGTACGTCGCCGACGTTTTCCTAAGAGTAGGGTTCTCAGCTTATTACCTCATGACCAAGCCTTGTGCTCTTAGTTGCTACTCCCTCTCTCCCTACCAACCCCCCTTTGGCGCCCTCCTGAGATCTGGGTTGCCCCCCCCCCCCCCCCTCGGCCCTCTCCTGGGAATCAAGCCAAAGCGCGGCGCGCCAGGCTCACGAGGGACGCCGCGCGGCGAACATCGCCTGTGCATGGGCTCCGATTTTTGGACGCTTCCCGTATCCCCGCCAGCCCATCCAGAAACGATCCCTGCGCGAGTTGCCCTGATCAGGGACGCGTGACAGCGTGCAGTACACTAGTAAGCCACGTAAGAGGCGGAAGTGGGGCAGGAGGGCAGGGAAACAAAAAACATTGCGAAGACGATCGTCCAGAAACGATGCCCAGGGGAGTTGTCTCAAGGGGGGGCGCAGGTGAGCGAGCATAGAATAGAGACAGGGAGGCGACAAATGATGACACTAAACTTCGGGGAGCTCCTGGAACCGTCTAGGGAGAATCACGAAAACTCCGGAGCTCTCTTGGGGCGCTTTTTGGGATCTCTCGGGGCCCGTCTGGGGAGCCTCGAGGGTCTACGTGGGAAACCTTGGAGGCCATCGAAAAGGGGGGGGGGTCTTGATGCCAGCGCCCCAGCCGGAAGCTCAACATAGCCTTCTGGAGCCCTCTTAGGTTGCTCTTGAGGCGCTCTTGGGCGATCTTGGGGCCGTCTTCGAGCCCTCCTGGGCGCCTTGCGGGGCCCTCATGTGCGATCTTGGAGCCATCTCGAGGCCTCCAAAGCCGATCAGACATAACAAGGAAGAGAACGCAGATAAGCAGCAACAACATGACGCAGGAAACGCGCACCAATCTCCTGCACCTGCTGCGAAGGAAACGCGCACGCAGTTTCGACTCCACGCGCCACGCGCGCAGAGACGGAACAAACCGATGAGCACGCCTCGTTGCTGAGAGTCGATTGGCGTGCGCCTGTCGTGAGCGCCGCGTGTGCGTTTTGTCCGCGCGGTATACTACATTGCCGTGCGGCTCGCGCCAAAACGACGACGCAAGTGCACTGTGGTGGAGATGTGGATCACTCGTGGGGTGAATCCAAGCATCGGTGCATTTCCGAATCGTCGTTGCTCCCCTTTGCATTTCTTCGCGCAATGTGTCAGTGATGTCCCAGGTTTTCGTTTTACCTCGTCGGGTAGCGTGTAGGAACCTCCGAACCAAAGTATTGTCTTTAGGTTCTCGACTCTTCCAGTTTCCGACGCTCCACGACGTCCCCAGAGCCCCCCAAGATTGCCACAAGACGTGGGCCCAGAAGCCTCCAAGAACGCCCAAGGTCGGCCCAGGAGACCTCGCAAGAAGGCCCACGACGCCTCCAAAAGAGCCCGACCGGCACCGCCAGCCAATCCCCAAGGGGCATTTGAGAACCCGTCGGCGGCCTGCGGGCTTCGAAATGCTTGGAATATGGCCCCAGGGACCCCATGACGCTTCGACAAGGCCCCGATGGGACCCCCAAGAAGATGCCAAGAGACAAGCACAAAGGTTTGTTGTTACGTTTTTTCATGGGTTTTAGAGTTTCATGTTTTTCTTTCAGAACTGTTGGGGGACTTCCGAAGGGGCTAGGGAAAGTTGCCGAGATTCTACCAACATCTCCGAACACGTCAGAATACATTCCCCACTCATCCGTCCCCAAGCCAGCCCAGAGGACACGTAATACGGATCGCAGCATGCGCCTAGAGGTTCTCCATGAGTGTCCGAGCGATGTTTCCAGAAGTCTCTCCAGGAGCATCTACATCGATGTCCCGGAAGACTATCCGTAAGCATCCGCGCGGATGTTTCGAATCACACCGCATGAGCAAGAGGAGGAGGAGGAGAGGTGTCCAGGACGACGAGGAGGAGGGATGTCCAGAGTTTTCACCACGGGCAGTTTGACGGTCTTGCGGAGCGAGGCGGACTTGTAGCATTGAGGAACAATAGCGACGATGGAGGTCTGCGCTTCCGTCCACCCCGAATTTCCGTCTTAACTATCCCAGTTCTTTTTCCTTCAGTTGCTAGCCAGTCAGCGCAGAGGCACTCTTGGACGCCGAGCACAAGCAGTCGACGCTGCCAGCCAGCGCCCAGGAGAAGACCAGAGCGCTCATGAAGAAGGAGGCGCCCTTTTGGAGGAGGACGAAAGGGGGAGGATGGGGAGGAGGGAGAGAAGGACGAGGAGGAGAAAGAGGAGGAGGGAGAGGAAGGGGAAGAGGAATACGGAGAAATGTGGAAAGAGAAGGGAAGAGCGCGGGAGGGAAGGGATGATGATGCTGATGATGATGCTGATGCTGATGATGATGATGATGATGATGGTGATGATGATGACGTTGATGAACATGATGATGATGATGCTGCTGATGTTGATGATTATGCTGATGATGGTGATGCTGATGCTGCTGATGATGATGATCATGATGTTGCGGATGATGATGATGATGCTGCTGATGATGATGATGATGGTGATGGTGATGCAGACGATGATACTGATGATGATGATGATGATGATGATGATGATGATGATGCTGATGATGATGATAATGACGATGAGGATGATGACGACGATGATGATGCTGATGATGATGATGATGCTGATGATGATGATGATGATGGTGGTGGTGGTGGTGGTGATGATGATGATGATGATGCTGCTGTTGTGACTGTTGATGGTGATGGCGATCTTATTGTGAAGGCCTGACGGCCTGTGCCGCCGACTCTGAAACACATCGACGACGACCAGGAGTGGGAGGAGGAGGAGGAGGAGAAGAAGGAGGAGGAGGAGGCGGAGATAAGGAGGAGGAGGAGGAAGAGAAGGAGGAGGAAAAGGACTCCCTCTTGGGACCCTCCCCCTGGGGAGGAGGACCGGAGGAGGACTGGCGGACTGGCGTGGGAGAAGGGAGGGGAGGGGGAGGAGGACCCCCAGGGACGGATGCGTATCTGACTCCCCTCCCCCCCCCTTGGACTCCTCTCCACCTGGAGAGGAGGACCCGAGGAGGACCCGCGCGCCGGAGAAGGACCAGCGTGAGAGAGGAGGACCCCCAGAGGCGATGCGAATTTGACCCCCGCCCCCCCCGACCCCCCCCCGCCTGGGAAGGGACAAAGGGAAGGGGCTTCCCCTTTGACGTAATGAGGACGTGGATGGAATTCCCTCAAGCTGCGAACCCGTTCCCCGAACGAGAAAGGGTGTTCTGTCTCTCTCTTTTTTTTTTTTTTTTTTGTTTTTCTTTTCTTTTTTTTTTGTTCTCTCTCTCTCTCTCGCTCTCCCCCGATGATAGGAAGGAGGGGACGAAAGAAGACTCCCCGTCGACGGGACAGGACACACACACACACGCACACGCACACGCACACGCACACGCACACGCACACGCACACGCACACGCACACGCACACGCACACGCACACGCACACGCACACGCACACGCACACGCACACGCACACGCACACGCACACGCACACGCACACGCACACGCACACGCCCACGCACACGCACACGCACACGCACACGCACACGCACACGCACACGCACACGCACACGCACAACGCACAACGCACAACGCACAACGCACAACGCACAACGCACAACGCACAACGCACAACGCACAACGCACAACGCACAACGCACAACGCACACGCGCACGCGCACGCGCACGCGCACGCGCCCGCGCGCCCGCACGCCCGCGCGCCCGCGCGCCCGCACGCCCGCGCGCCCGCGCGCCCGCACGCCCGCACGCCCGCGCGTCCGCACGCCCGCGCGCCCGCACGCCCGCACGCCCGCACGCACGCACGCGCGCACGCACGCACGCACGCACGCACGCACGCACGCACGCACGCACGCACGCACGCACGCACGCACGCACGCACGCACGCACGCACGCACGCACGCACGCACGCACGCACGCACGCACGCACGCACGCACGCACGCACGCACGCACTCACGCACTCACGCACTCACGCACACACGCACACACGCACACACGCACACACGCACACACGCACTCACGCACACACGCACACACGCACACACGCACACACGCACACACGCACACACGCACACACGCACACACGCACACACGCACACACGCACACACGCACACACGCACACACGCACACACGCACACACGCACACACGCACACACGCACACACGCACACACGCACACACGCACACACGCACACACGCACACACGCACACACGCACACACGCACACACGCACACACGCACACACGCACACACGCCCACACGCACACGCGCACACGCGCACACGCACACAGACACAGCCACAGACACAGACACAGACACAGACACATCAGACATCAGACATCAGACATCAGAGATCAGATATCAGACATCAGACATCAGACATCAGACATCAGACACCAGACATCAGACTTCAGACATCAGACATCAGACATCAGACATCAGACATCAGACATCAGACACAGACACAGACACAGACACATGCACATGCACATGCACATGCACATGCACATGCACATGCACATGCACATGCACATGCACATACACATGCACATGCACATGCACATACACACACACCACACACGCCGACAGGGTCGGCGGATTGATGGTGTGGATGTTGATGCTGACGATGTTGATGATGATGCTGATGGTGATGGTGATGCTGATGATGCTGATGCCGACGACGATGATGATGCTGATGCTGATGCTGCTGCTGCTGCTGCGGATGGCGGTGATCTGAGTTTGATGATGATGGTGTTTCCGATGATGGCGATGATGTTGATTCAGCCGATGATGCCGATGCTCATGGGGATGATGAGGCTGATAATGTTGTTGATGATGAGGATGACGATGCCGATGATGATGAGGATGGTGGTGATGATGCTGACGATGCTCTTACTGATGATTTATGATGATGCTGATGATGCTCATGCTGCTGATGATAAATGCTGATGCTGATGATGGTGCTGCTGATGCTGCTGCTGCGGATCATGCTGGTGATGATGCTGCTGATGCTGCTGCTGCTAATTTGATGATGCGGATGATACTGATTACGATGACGATGATGAGGCTGATGATGATGCTGATGCTGATGATGCTGTTGAAGATGCTGATGATGCTGATGATGATGCTGATGATGTTGCTGATGATGATGATGATGACGATGTTGATGATGCTGATTCTGGGGAGGAGTAGGAGTGGGTGGACGTGGCAGATAGATGGATGGATGTACGGATAGATGATGAGAAGGATGATGATGATGAGGACGAGGAGGTTAATGGCAATGATGACGAGGAGGAGGAGGAGGAGGAGGAAAAGGAGGACGAGGAGGAGGAGGAGGAGGAGGAGGAGGAGGAGGAGGAGGAGGAGGAGGAGAGGAGGAAGAGGAGGAGGAGGAGGAGGCGGAGGCGGAGGCGGAGGCGGAGGCGGAGGCGGAGGCGGAGGCGGAGGCGGAGGCGGAGGCGGAGGCGGAGGCGGAGGCGGAGCGGAGGCGGAGGCGGGCGGAGGCGGAGGCGGAGGCGGAGGCGGAGGCGGAGGCGGAGGAGGAGGAGGAGGAGGAGGAGGAGGAGGAGGAGGAGGAGGAGGAGGGGAGGAGAGAGGAGGAGGAGGAGGGGGGAGGAGGAGGAGGAGGAGAGGAGGAGGAGGAGGAGGAGGAGGAGGAGGAGGAGGAGGAGGAGGAGGAGGAGGAGGAGGAGGAGGAGGAGGAGGAGGAGGAGGAGGAGGAGGAGAGGAGGAGGAGGAGGAGGAGGAAGAGGAGGAGGAGGAGGAGGAGGAGGAGGAGGAGGAGGAGAGGGGGGGGGGGGAGGAGGAGGAGGAGGAGGAGGAGGAGGAGGAGGAGGAGGAGGAGAGGAGGAGGAGGAGGAGGAGGAGGAGGAGGAGAGAGGAGGAGGAGGAGGAGGAGGAGGAGGGGCAGGTACCCCCACCTCCCTCTTCCCATGCCGCGCTCGCGGGAGGGGAAAGGATTTGGAGCAGGGTTGAGGTTGACGGCTGCTTGAAGTACGTTTTGGAGTTGCAAGAGCAGAAGGACATGTACGAGCAGAGCGTTCAGGACAGCTGACGAATTCAAACCTGTGCTTGTTTTACAGGCTCGCTTACTGTGCGTCGTGACACACCACGTCTGGAGCTCCCGACCCCATCTCTGTGCTGGATTTTTGGGCCGTACCCTCCGATGAAGCTGCCTTCGGTCGGGCCCAGACGTACCTGTGTGCCATACCTGCGGCGCCTCCACAGGGGTGGCGCGCACACTCGAACACCCGGCAGTAGAAGCCATGGCGGGCGTGGTCTGGCCATGCCGCCTGGGATCGCGCTCGGCGGCGAGCGAGGGGGGGAAGCGAGAAGGAGAAGGCTTCCTCAGAAGGCGGCGGGGCCTCTCACACGCCCTCTGGCCTTTATAAGAAGTTTTCAGCGTCTTCGCGGAAGCCTTCGGAGCCTTCTCAGAAGGCCGAAGGACTTCCAAGCCTTCTGAGGAGGCCCGCCCTCTTCCACTTCCTCCCCCGGCGTGCCGCCGACGCGCCAAATTGTAAGATGTTGGTGCTGTACGTTCCGGGCGGGCGTCTGCCTCCAAGGGGGACGCCGAGGACTGGTGTGTCCGTCTGCGCCACGTGCGGGGATCCAACGGGGCAGAGGCGCCTGCCGTGCATTGCTGTCCGCGAAGTCCAGATGCGAGACTGCGTCCCTCCCTCCCTGCCAGCACGCACGCGCACGCAGACCAGACCAGAAAGGGGTCGGAGAATCCCGCCGCATCGCCGATGCATCGGCGAGGCGACGCGATCTGGCGCCCGATCTCCTTCATCCCAGCGTCGCCAGTTTATTGCTGATGCATCGGCGATGCGGTGCGTTCCCCCATCCGCATCGGGCTTCGCTGCGTTTCCCCGGAGGTCCCCAGAGGTCTCCAGAGGTCTCCAGACTCCTTCAGGTTGGCGGCCTCAGGATGCCCAGAACGGCACGAAGACGCCGAATAATCTAGATTCTCGATCCTCGATCCTCAATCCCTTCCGATCCGACGCTTCAGTCGGAGGGCGCAAACTATACAGATACACCGGTCCTGGCCAGGCCGATCCTGGGCCCAGGATCGGTTTAGTGTGCCTCCCTTTCCAAGCCAGAGGTGCGTGCACACGGCTCCTGGTGACCTGGCCAAGGTCGGTGCATGTGGTCCCTGAGGCTTGAGGATGTTCACATCCAGCAGCGCGAGATCCCCAGGGACACGTGTCTAGGGCGGTGCCTTATCCCCCAGACCCAGACCCCGACGGAGTCGTGTTCTCTCCAAGCGTGGACCCCCAGAAGTCCCGACGCCTCCCCTGGGGGTAGCTTTTTTCATCCTGGACCCATTCTTCGGAGGAGGAGAAGGTACCCACACCGCTACCCTTGTCTCGTTGTTGTTCCACTTTGCGGGCCTCCAGAGAGGCCTTCGTCGCCACCGCTGGATCCGCCTCGAAATGCTGGTCAGAACGCGCCCCGGGAGAGGACCGGGGAGTAGCGGTACGGGTACCTGTTGGTTTCCCCAAGTTTGCGTGCCGCAGGGGGCACATGAGGTATCTCAGCCTCTCTTTACACTTGCGTCTGTAGCCCTGCGATTGCAGACCTGAGGCTACATTGACCTCGTGTGGTTGCGAGACGATGCCTTGTTGATGGGAAAAAAGGGGGCCCGAAGACGGGCCCCACAGCCACGCCGTCGGAGATCCGGGCGTGTGGTCGGCGCCCTCCTGCCCAGCTCCAGCTGGGAGGCTCCCCGTCCAGGATGATGGGCATGTTTTTCCACCACCACCACCATAAGTTGGAGCGGGAGGGGGGTCCTCCTCCTCCTCCTCCTCCTCCTCCTCCTCGTTCTCCTCCTCGTCCTCCACCTCATTTCCGCCCTCTAACTTATGGTGGTGGTGGTGGTGGTGGAAAACAAGTCCATCACAGGACATCTACTCCAGGTGCAGCACCATCAAGTCGTCGAAGACGACAGAGAAGGACCCCCGCCCGCGCCGCCGGCGGTCTGCCCCCTGGCTGCCGCGCGGCAGCGGCCCCCTTTGGCTCGCAGCCTCCTCGCCGAGGTCGGGCCGCCACGAAAGGGCAGGATAGGGGAGGGGGGGGGGGGAACGAAGTCTGCTGCAGGCGGCTGGTGTCTTCCCCGCCGCGGGGCCCCTTCCTCGAAACGTGGGCGCCTCCGGGCACCAGGAGGCGCGAGGAGAACGAGCTACGTGAGCTCATTCTCTATCATACCCTTTGCTGTCCTGCCCTTTCGCTTCTGCCCCGAGGAAGCCAAGCAGTTTTCAAGCCATACCCTCATGGTTTCTTGCCCCCAGTGAGGTAATCTTGCCTTCGGTTTGTCCTGCCCTCGGTGACATTTTGCCGACGACCACCTCCGCCGCTGCCGCTGCCGCTCCCGCTGCTGCTCCTCCCCCTTCGCCTCCTCGCGGGGCAGTGGACTCCTCTCCTATCTCTAGGACTGGTCTCTTCCTCTCGCGCGTGGCGTCGGGCTCCGCGACCCCTCCTCTCTCGTCTCCCCTTGGCCTCGGGCTCCGCGAGCCTCTCGCAGCCTCCGCCAGGGCCTCGAGGATCTGAGGCAGCACATGGAGGCCAACACCAAGGACAAGATCCACAACAGCTCCCCCTTCTGGAGGAGACCCGCCTCGAGCTCTCTCTTCCGCGCCCTGGCCTCCACTTCCTCTCGCCTCCCCCCTTCTCCCCCGCCCGTGCTGCCCCTCGCATACGCAGCTGCTCAGGAGGAGTGCTCCTGTCCCTGCCCCCTGACCACTCCTTCGTCCCGCCTCCCCCAATTCCAGCCTCTCCTGCCCCTGCCCCGCCCGTCCTCCCCCCCCGCTGTGCTTCGCAGGGGGTGGCTCCGAGGCCTTGCAGTTTCCTCGTTTCGCGCTCGGCGCGGTTCGATTGTGTGTGTGTGTGTGTGTGTGTGTGTGTCGGCGCCCCCCTGGCGCCTGCCCGCTGCCCGCCGCCCCGGCGCCCCTGCGCCGCTCCCGGCCACTGCCCCGTGAGGGGCCGGCCGACTCTTCCTTATCTTTTTTCTCGTCGGCTACTGCGCTCTCGGGCGGTTCTCCACGCGCGGGCTGGACGGTGAGGAGGTGCTCCCGCCCGCGACGACCCAAAGTGTGTGTGTGTGTGTCTCTTCTTCTCTCCGCCCACTGCGTCTCCAGACTTTGCCCTCGTCCGTGCAGCAGACATCGGGTCAGGCGCTGCACCTTCCGTCCAGGGAAGAGGGTGAGGGTCCGATTCGGGAACCAGCAGAGCTGATAGACGCCATGGGAAGGGTACCAGGCGTAGAGGCGCCAGCGAGTTGCTCGCCGGCGGTCTGCGTAAGATAAATGAGTGACGGTGGAACTCTCAGCGCCCGCCTCTCAGACTCTTGACATGAACATGGGACTGCAGACTTGGTGCGTATCCCCATGTGAAGGGGTTGGTGGGAGGGGTCGGATGTCAGATTTGGCGCGAGCGCACCTAGCAGATCCCTCTCCCTCTCCCCTCTCCCCTCTTCTCTCCTCATTTTCGCTCTCCCCGCGTCTCCTTCTCTTCGCTCCGGCCTCCCCTCCCCTTCGCCACTGCTGAGTCATAGTTCACCTCATGGTCTGGCTCTTCGTGTTGCTTAACCTCCGGAGAGGTTGGAGCAGCCCGACAATCGACAGAGTGAATCGAGTCCTATGCAGTTGCTGTGCACGATCAACAAATCTGCAGGGCAAGGTGGTGCGCTTTGAATGCCAATCCACAGGAAGGTGGCATATGACCAGGAAGCAGCACGTCCTAAGCCGACATGGTATGCCAGGCCGCAAGGTGACATGCAAGTTGTCCTCCAGCCCTCCCGCACCTGAACCGCTTCGACCCCTCTCAACTTTCTCTCGGATTCAGAGATTGCCATGTGCGTGGCTTCCTCCCCACCTCCCTGCTATTGACCTTCATCCTTGCATGGCAGCGTTGCCGTCCCTGACACGTCGCTCGAGGACGAAGTTCAACGTCAAGTCCCAGGGCGGCACGGCCATGAAACGATAGCCTTGGCTGTGAGGCCGCCGAATTTGGAGGTCTATTTTTGTTAGCGTAACTTGCTGCTGCGACTCCGAGGAGGGAGCCGAGGACAGATCAGAGCAGAACGGAACGTCTTCAGTTCGGTCACGCCAGCGCGACCTGTCATTTCTCAGCCAAGGCCATGTGCGCGCTCGTGCCCTGTTTTCCGAGCGTTGTCGCGCCAAAGGGTCCCCGCGGTGGCCAAACGGTGTCCCCACAAGGCCGCAGATCAAGGCCCCGGTGCGTTCCCTCGTGCCCGCTCGAGAGTGGTGCCTCTCCCCTCTCCCCGCCCCCCCCGTCCTCTCTTGCGGCCCTCTAGGGGCCCTCCTTGGCCATCCTTTTCTTGGGCCCTCTTGGGGCTGTGTTGGAGCCTTCCTGGGCAGTCCCAGGGCCATTTTGGGGCTGTGTTGGGGCCTCTCTGGGCTGTCCAAGGGCCATCTTGGAGTTAGGGCTAGCCCCCTTTTGGAAATTGGGCTCGCCCCCTTCCGACCCCATCGTACCTCGCTGTGGGATTCTAGCACTTGTCAATATCGGCCCCACCGAGTCGCTCACTTGGGGGATCTCCTGCTCCCGTCGCGGGTGCCGTCGCCGTCCCAGCGCGGACCCTTCCTTCGTGCCGGCTCGAGGGCGGTGCCCCCCAGGGCACGCTCCCCGTCGCCTGATCCCAGCCGTCCCTGTCGCGTAACTTGGTGCGGGTCGCATTCTCTTTTCCGTGCAGCACACGCCTCAGCGCTTGGTGCCCACCATGCTTGCACAGGAATGGCAGGCGGGCCACGCTCCTTTCTCTGTGCCCCCCCCCACTCCAGCGCCTGGATCCTATTGGGGCGTCTGTGGCCGTCTTGGAGGACTCGTGGGTCGCTCTGAGCGACTCGGACGCCGTCTTGTGCCGCCGCTCTGGGGAAACAGGGGATTCCCCCGAACGGGGTCTGAGGGCGGGGCCCTGGGGCCATCACGGGGCCCCAGACATCAGACCGTGCGATTTGTTCCATGCGCGGTCCCGGGGGTCACGACCAGCTCCAGCCCCCAGGGTGTTTTTACGTTCTGGGCCCATTTTTGCATCAGATGCCGAAGTCGTGGAATGCCGCCAGGATTGAACATCATCTTGGCGAAGGACCGAACCATATGCTCTCGCCAGTGCCGCGCTTAAGTATCGCCTTCAGTGGAGCTCCCTCTGGCGCCACGACACGTGTGAGAGATGTCCCAAAATGGGCGGGGGTGAGCATGCGGGTCCTGCCATGGGGGCCTTCGGCGAAGTTCCCGATGGGGCCACGAAGCCTGTGAGGGAGGTACCGACATGGGCTGGAGACGCATGCGGACGCTGCCGCTGGAGCCTTCGGTGGAGCTCCCTATGGGGCCGCGAAGCGTGTGTGATGGGAGTGCCTAATCTTTGCCTGGGGAGGCATGCAAGCTGTTCCCTTGTGTGAGGGGTGATTCGACATGGGCTGGGGGACCGTATGTGACCTCGTCCCCCCTGAGGGCTTCGGTGGAGTTCCCTATGGGGTCACGAAGCGTGTGAAGGGTGTACCGAGATGGGTGGTGAACCGCATGGGACCCTCCCCCCTCAGGGCTTCGGTGGAGCTCCCTGTGGGGGTGGGGAAACGCTTGCGACACCCCAGCCACGAGGGCTTCGGTGGAGCTCCCGTTCGGCCACACAGCGTGTGAGGGGTGTGCCGAAATGCGCGGGAAACCGCATGCGAGGACGAATTGGGGCCTTATTAAGGTGGATCTCGCTGTGGGGCCACGAAGCGTGCGAGGGGTGTGCCGAAATGGGCGGGGACACGCATGCAAGGGCAGCCACTGGGGCCTTCATGTGGATCTCCCTGTGGAGCCACGAAGCGTGTGAGGGGTGTGCCGACATGTAACGGGTGACGATGCCGATACCGATGAGGGTTGATGATCATGACGCTGATGATTACATGCGGAGGGCAGAGGCAGGGATGGGAGGAGTGGGAGAAGGAGGAAGAGGAGGAGGAGGACGCGTAGGCGGAAGCGGAGGAAGCGGAGGAGGAGGAGGAGGAGGAGGAGGTCGAGGACGAGGAGGAGGATGAGGATGAGGATGAGGATGATGAGGATGATGATGCTGAGGATGATGATACTGATGATGATGATGATGATGAGGATGATGATGATGATGATGATGATGATGATGATGATGATGATGATGATGACGATGATGACGATGATGACGATGATGATGATGATGATGATGATGATGATGATGATGATGATGACGATGACGATGGTGATGATGATGCTGATGCTGATGATGCTGCCGCTGATGATGATGTTGATGATGACGATGCTGATGCTGATGGTGCTGATGATGATGCTGATGATGCTGCGGATGATGCTGATGATGCTGATGAAGATGGTTATGACGTTATGACGATGCTGCGGATGATGAGGATGATGCTGTTGATGATCATGCTGCTGGTGATGATGCTGTTGCTGGTTGCTGATGCTGGTGATGATGCTGCTGATGATGATATTGATGCTGATGTTGATGATGCTGCTGCTGATGATGGTGATGATGATGCTGATGATGCTGATTACGGTGATGAGGATGATAATGATGCTGCTGCTGATGATGCTGATGATAATGATGAATCGTATGATGATGGTGGTGATGATGATGCTGCTGATTATTATGTTGATGTTTCTGCTGCTGCTGATGATGATTATGCTGAGGATGAGGAGGAGGAGGAGGAGAAGGAGGAGGAGGAGGAGGAAGGGAGGTAAGAAGATGACGCGGGGCGCTGCGGATTCAAAGCGAGGAGCAGTCACCACATGATGGTTTGGAAACATTTGAGAGCACGCCAGAGCCCCCATGGGGGCGCCGGGTCGCCCGTGAGCGGAACTCGTGGCGTCTCAGAGCCATCCGAAGTTGCAGCACCGCGGACCATCAAGGGCCGGAAGGCACTTCAGCCCCCCTTGCACTGTTGCAGGAAAACCACGGGGGAACCTTTGTTTGGCCACTTTCGGTATTTGTAGGCCCTCGCTGGGCGACGGGAGCGTCGAGCAACGACTCAGGATGAACATCCGGTCCCGAGGAAGGCCGTCCTTCAGAGGGCGAAAAGTCACCCCCACCCCGAATCCCGACTCCAATCCCCGAGCCGGCGATTCGAGGGGTCTGGACTGGGGGTGGGGGTGGGTTTTCTCCATTCTTGGGCCCCAAAAAGCCACCCCCACCCCCAGTCCCGACCTCCTGGGTCGCGGGTTCCAGGATGGGGTCGGGACTGGGGGTGGGGGTGGGTTTTCGCCTTCCCAGTCCTGGGGAAGGCCGAATATGGACGACGAGCGCGCCCCAAGGTCTCCTGTTGCAAGATCTCTTGTAGTATGTGTCTGCCGTGCGTGCCAGAGGCTCGGTGACGGATCTTGCTCAGCCGACGAAGATTGATCCCGACTTTCCCCGATCAGAACCCTTCGTCGTTGGTCGCGAGGCCTTCGACTCAGCAGCGGACGAGGCGCAGCCTGTTGGTAGATGCAGCTGGGGTCTCCGGTACAGGTGAGGTGCACTGCCAACGGTTGCCTTGCATCCTGGTAGCTTAGCTGTTCGGCCTCAGCCATTCAGCCTCACTGGCATCTGTTCTTGCAGCCTGGACCCCCGAGGCTCTTGCGTCCTGACCCTGCATTCTTGTGACCGGCTCCGACTGCAGCGCCATGCGCGGCCTGAAGGCGGTGCTCAGCGTCGGTCGCTGGGTTCCAGCCCCTTGGTCCAATCCACCCCTTCGACGTCGGTCCTGCCAGCGTCGTCGCGCATGGCGGCGCCGTCTCTCGGCGGGGCTGCCGGCGAGTGTTTCGCTGGTGCTGGCGACGCCCTGCTGTTCATGGGGGCGAGCGGGGAAGGTCCACAGGAAGCAGGGGGGTGGGAGTGCAGGAGAGGAGTGGAATCGGACGGAGGGGAGGAACCTGCACATGGATCCGGAGAGGAGCGGATTGATCGAGGGAACATGGGAAGCGCCAGAGGCGCAGGGACAAGCTGTGCACGGAGGGCAGGGGTGGATCGGGCAAGGTCTGATCGATATGTTGGGCCGAGCGAGCGAGGAGAGGGATTTGAGGGAAGGGGATGAAGGCAGCGAGGGAGCGACTGGGTGGAACCGCGGAGCTGATGGTCACATAGTTTTTCGGGACGGGAGCGTCCGCCAGCCATCTCCAGGGCTCGGTTGAGATAAGGCGGTGCCACCTCAGAAAGCCAGGGAGGTCTCCGTGTGGCCAGGGTCTCTCGGGTTAGGCCGCGGCTCTGTTCAGGTCTTGGGTCTGTCAAGGTTCGGATCTCGCAGCAGCTTTGTGGCTGCACCAGGTTGAGCCGCCTGCTGCAAATATGTGGGCGGCGCCATGTGCAGGGCACGGATGAGCTCTCGGGCCGCGGGCGCCCGAAGAGACCAAAGCAGTTCTGGTCTTGTGAGGCTCCTGGCAGCTGCTTCCGCTGTGAGAGCTTTTGGCAGGAAGCGCTCTACCTTTGTTTTCGGAGCCTCTCTTCCGCATGCGGCCCTTTGCCCTGGCTCCTTGCACGCGTGCGCACACGGGAAATCGTGGACAATTATACCTCCTCTGGTCTGGCCTCTGGCGCCTGCGTCATGCTTGGCTACTGCAGCGGGCCCTCCGTTGGCCCCTGGGTCACGCCGCGCGTCACCACGACGCCAATCGCAACCTCAGCCCTCCGCTAAGGCCCCCGAAGCACGCCGTGGGACCCTGCCTGCGCCGCGTCTCGAGCCGTGGGCCGCCAGCCCGGCTCCGTTCCAGGCCCTCCCGAGGCGCCCAACGGGCTGCGCCCGCGCGCGCCTCCTGGCTCCCAGCGGCCGCCCAGTCCCACCTAACGTGGACGCAGGTCGCCTCGCGCGAGATTCATGTTTGTTTGTATGTATATATGTATGTATGCATGCATGTACTGTATGCATATATGCATTCATGCATGCATGCATGCATGCATGCATGCATGCATGCATGTGTGAAGGTATGTCTGTCTGTCTGTATGTATATCTATATATGTTGTACGCGTCGATCTACGTATGTGTATCTCTGTATCTGTGTACGTG